TGCTACACTATCCCGGTTCTGGCTATGGTGGAGATAGCGATAGCTTTAGAGATAGACATGATTATAGACATCAATGGACTAGGCGCCCGGGACCTGATGGTAAGTAAACCATATAATATCGCGAAAAAATATATAAATACACTTCATTTACAAATTTTAGAATGTTCTGCGAAAACGAGCGAAGGCTTTCGTTTACACAAAACAGTTGTCAAGCACGCATACAATGTACCCACACTAACAGAATGTGAACGTTTATGTTCGGGTCAAGATGGATTTATATGTCACACCTACAGTTACAGATACACACAAGCTGGACGTGATAACTGTATGCTCTGTGATCGTCCCGTGAATTTACTCGATTATTACGTTGACATTGAACCAGATCGTGATTATGATATATATTCTATGGCAGATGACTTGGACGTTTGCAGAAAACCTTCACGTAGTGATGGCCCCAGCACGGCATTATCAGATCCAAGAAATGCACGTGAGTATTTTGTCTTGCTATTTTTCTAAAATATATATAAGCATTTTATCGATAAAGGAGGCAAATAAATTATTTATAAATTTTTTCCAGAATGTTTCTTCCGCGCCATCGATGCTACACGTTTTTTCAAATCCATTGTGCGAGACTCTCTGACAGTTCGTTCAGTTGGTGAATGCGAAATGGAATGCATAAAATCCACAAAATTCACCTGTCGTGCCTTCGCCTTCCGGTATGGTCAACAAAGGCATGCAAGTGTCATTGACAATTGTCAACTAAGCGATTGGCCAGTACGCGATATGGACAAGGAAAGACATCTAATATTGGATGCAACTTTTGATGTATTTGAGAGAGCTAGCTATGGTCACGGATGTGAAATTCAACCAATTGTCGATGATAAACATAAGAAATGTTAGTTAATCTATATGAAAAGCAGTAACAAAATTCCTTACAATAACTGTTTTGGTTTGATTTTCTTTTTAGCAGTTTGTTATTTAGGTTATGGATCACCAGCAAAGCTACTGCCAGCAGCTATAAAAAAAGTTATATCTGTGCCTTCAGAGATAGAATGCAAAAAGGAATGTGTACGTTTTAGAGAAACGACATCATTTAAGTGCTACTCATTCAGTTTCGGGTACGAAAAGTTTAGCTTTACTCATAACTGCATAATTAATACGATTTTTTTAATATTTTTAGCTCTCGCTCTAGTTCCTATAATTGCGAAATGTCCGATTTAGATCAAACAGAACTGAAGCTCGATCTTCATTACACGCACACAAATGATCGAGATTATTGGCTTTTTGCTTGGAATCCTTTTGATTGGACTTGTCGCGATAAAGTGAATACAATCGGCGGCAATCGAGTGAATAACGATCGCCGTATGGACATATTCCGCGAACCCGGTAAACTGAAAATTCTAACCTGTTGCACTTCCATACTTGTGTAAATAACCAAATCAAACAAGATTTCAATTACCCGCAACACAGTCTAGCAACTTCCTAATGTGGTGTACCAAGGTCTAACATGTTCTAACAAACAAAAACTAAAAATCTAAGATTAACTTTAAGGGTCCATGATTAATAAACTTTTTATAAAACATGTAAATATTTCTAAAATTACCTTAAACTAGCATTAATATAACTTTAAGTATACATAATTATGCTAACCGTACCTAAACCTAACCGCCTGATGTAGTTTTGGTAACTGGATACAAGTATACTTTAGGTGATATCTATAATAGTCCTTATATTCTTCTTATTCACATAAAAGGCGATGTAGCTTGGCGACATTACACCGTAACTGGAAAACCATGCAGACGCAGCAGCCCATGTGAAAAGAATCTGGTAACTGGCTTCTACTCTTGCGAAATAGATGGAGGTGAAGTCGGATCTTGGGATTACTGCTGCAAGGCAGATCACCCCTGTGGCTACTCACAGGGGTTCGATTATCCATGGTAAATACATTACAAAAATAACAAAGTAATCTTTCAAAATATACAATGTTGTTATTGAATAGGTGTCCTGTTGGTGACGAACCAGATCAATGGCGCAAATGTAGTGATCGTTATTATCCAAGCAATAATACATTAACACATTCCGCAATAACACTGCCACCTAGTAAAAATAAGAAAAAACCTAATTCCGGTAATAATAACGAATATCAACATCCTCCACGTCCAGGTGGACTACAAAGTTTAAGCGATTTTGCAGCCGCCCGTTTATGGCCAGTAACGTATTTATATAGTGAAGGACCACCCAATTCGACTGAATTTAGCAATTTTGTCGATTGTAATAAGGAGTCCTGTTAGATATACGTCAACTTAAATTAACTTAACTTGTAATTAATTTAGTATCCGTTGGTTAGTTATAAAAGAAACTTTTAACATTCCAAACATATCAACTTTGGCTCTTAACAAAATAAAAATATTATATCAATTGTGATTATCAGAAGAGATTTAAAATCAAGGTTCTATGTGTTCTACGCGAAAAATATTTTTGTATTGCATTTCTTTAGTTCTAAGTTTTCAAATATTTATACATGATAATTTAATTTAAATATATATATATTTTAAACCGATGAAATGTTAGATTTAATGTAAGAGAATATAACATAACTAAAAAAATTACGTGTATATTAATATTTAAATTTAATATAATAAAATTTTAAATATTATCATTAATATTGTTTTTTTTTAAATGTATGTTAACAGATGGTAATATTTTTATAGTATATATTATGATATTATATATTAATATAAATAAAATTAATATTTTTGTAATATTAATATATACTATATAAATATATAAATCATATATGATACTAATATAAATATTAATATGATTCATATATTAAGATATATTCCTTGCTAAATCGATAAGGCAAAATCACTAATGCCAGAAAACTAGGTATGATTCTAGTTTTTTAGGTACTCTGATTTGATGGCGAATTCTTGTAAAATCTGTTTTTCTAATTGCCTTAAAGCATAGTAAAACCCGGGATCTATCACTAATGAAATAACGATATATGTAGCCTCATTTGTTAAAATACTTCTACACTTAAACTACATAATACAATATCTAAAAATATTTAAAACTTGGACAGGATATTCCAGTTAATTTTTTTATAATATCACTTTCAACCTCTAGACGAAACAAAATTTTTTAGAACTGTTTTGATCACCTCAATTAAAACTGAGGGATTTTTTTCCGTTAAGTCTAAAACATCGAAAACCATAGTGTGACACTTGAATCCACTAAAGCCACCTCTTGGGAATGGAAAATAAGGAATTTCAACATTTACCGAAAATTTAGCATCTAAATAACATATATCAAAATTGGAAACAAGTGTGGGGAAACAAGTATAAATAGCTTTGTTTTAATAAAGTAAAGTAAACAAAAAATATTACAACTTAGAAAATGTCTGTAAAATGAAAATAAATAATAAATTATTTCATTCAAATGTAAAGTACCTGCAACGAGTTTCAAACTTTACAGTAACTGCTTAACATTTTAAGCAGCATACACAGTTTGAAAGGTATTGTAAAAGTCATGCCAGTTGAACATCTGTTTGAATAAAAACAGCTGATATTGCTTAACGTGTGATTAGCCTTTGCCAAAATATTTTAGTAAATATTTTGTTTCTTTTCTTTCTTAATATGAATAATAGACTACTAACAAAGTTTATAGCAATCAGTACCACAGTATCCGGTGCCTTTCTCTTAGGTCGCTATACAGAACGACAACAAAGTAACAATGGAAACAATGTACAAAAGGTTAGTTTGCTGCTCATATGATTTTTATGCAAAGTTTACATAACTAAATCCATAGCTTACACCAAAACCTGGTCTACCAATTTTTGCTACTGTTTCTGCTGCCGTACCAGTACCCGCCGATGAAGTCAACCTCACAGCAACACCGACACGCATATCGCAAATTATGAAATTTGGCTTTCCAAGTCTGGATCATGTACGTTCATATTCAGACTTCGTGCTCTCATATGACCGAAAAAATCGTGTACCACATTGGGTGTTCGAACATTTAACAGCAGAATCTGTTGCTAAAAATGATGCAGTTGATCGTTCTAAATGTGACTTCAGAGCTGATGAAAGCATACACCCATTCTTTCGTGCGGAAAATACAGACTACCGACGTTCTGGCTTTGACCGTGGTCATATGGCAGCTGCTGGCAATCATCGTCGTCATCAAAAACATTGTGAAGATACATTTTATCTTTCGAATATGGCACCACAAGTTGGACAGGGTTTTAATAGAGATTCATGGAATCGCCTAGAGTCTTATGTGCGGAAATTAACTAAAACGTATTCAAATGTTTATGTATGCACGGGTCCACTATATTTACCACGAAAAGAAGATGATGGCAATGTGTATATTAAATATCAAGTAATAGGAAATAATAATGTTGCCGTTCCGACACATTTTTATAAAGTTATTGTTGGTGAATCGGCAGACCAGAAACTTGAAATGGAAGCATATGTTATGCCAAACAAAGTGATAAGCGATGACACCCCACTACAAGTTTTTCAAGTGCCACCAGAGACTATTGAACGCGCTGCTGGACTACTATTTTTTGATAAAATTAATCGCAAGCAACTTACAAAAATTAATGGCAAAAAAACGTGAAATACAATGTTAAATTATAGCTTATTGAAGGATGGAAAAATTATTAAAGTTATTATTTAATAATTATCTGTGCAATATAGAGATAAGACAATGTTTTGTTATAAACGTTAAAATTTAAATTTAATAATATAATTATATTGTTAATTTATTTTATTTGTTATTGCCATTGAGTTTTCTGTTTTATTTGTTACAGTGAACAACGTTCAAACAAGGTTTAGAAAATAGCACAATAATAAAAAAGAGAATTATAAATAATTAGTAAATAAATAATAAACGAAATAATAAATACTTATTTAATTTTAAAATGCTTAATTTTAAAATTAATTTAAATGGTTTTTTTAATATATTCTCGCTCGACTTCGGTAGAGATTTTACAGATTCTAAATTGTTATAAATATAGAATATTATAATAATAGTAGACTAAAAAAGTTTTATAAAAGATAATAGTTTTTACTTAAAGTTATAAAATGCAATATAAATATAAGTTTCTTATGAAGTGAAAGACATGTGCATATATAGATGATAACCTCCTAACACTTAGTATTAGGAACATTAATATTATATATTATAATATTTTATAATGTTATTTTTGTTATAGTTGCATTATGAATTTTTCAGATATAATATTAAAAACTAAAAAAAAAATTTATTGTTAACACAACTATCATTGTTGTTGTTATTATATCACAGTTGTAAGAAGTGACCGACACTTGTACAGATGTAAAGACAACTAGCCCCGTGACGTAGACCCTGAGTCTATTACTATTAATTTAATTTGATTGTAACAAGTATATTTATTAATATTCTAAACATATATTTTATAAAGTTCTAGAAATAATAACAAATCTTAACAAACGAAAACTAGCTTTGAAAACCATACTGGAAAAATGTAAAGTAAAAATATTATTTTGTAAAAACAATGATAGGAATAATGATAAGACACTGTTACCACAAAAATTATATACTCAAAGCACTTAAAAAAATACTTAATTTAGCCTTTGCGGTTATAATTTGAAGTTAAGTTTTTAACAAACATAAAGCATTTAACCTGTCAAGGATATTTAATATGATGAAATTAGGAAGAACTCTCAATTTTTAGGTATTCTAACTTATATAAATTGGGAAATTCTATTACTGAGCTTCTTACGTCTCACCCCCTGATCAGTGGTATGCAATTTCAGTTGGACGTCCTTCTCAATTTGTTGGCTAAGATCTTCTCAACTCATTCCTAAGAGGTGCGACGTAGACCTGTCCGTTCTTGAATCCAGTTTAATTAGATTAAAACCAGGTGGTTTTAGTCATCGCTAGTAGAGCTCTCCCTCCACGTTGCATCCGTCGATCCCTTACCACCTTTAATAATCATATCGACCAATATTGCAATGGAGCTAACATCAGTGAAATCGAGTACAAACGTGGATTAATATCACTCCACACCGATGCAGTATCTTCTTTGAGACCTAGGTTGACTCCCAATAAGGTCCTCAATAGGCCTCCGCATAACATTTCCCAGGATGAACGTAGTATTCCCCGTGCAGCAAGAACTGTCCTTGCTCAATTGAGATCAGGATATAGCCATGTGCTAAACAGTTACTTGTCACGTATAAACGCGTTCATTCCTAATGTGTGCCCAAACTGCAACTCCACCCCTTTAGAATCTTTAGAATATATGCCGAACATAATATTAACAGTGGTAGTATACTTTCGTGTAATTGTAATCAAATTTTTCCCAATAAATCTTTATTAATATTGGCGTAATATTTCTACCAAGTCATAGTCAGATTTCCACAATAAATATTGGCGCAATATTTCCTGAAAAGCTATATAGTTAGTTTATTTTTTGATTCTACACACCTTTTTTTATTATATTATACTTTTATTTTAAAAGTAAAGTCAACTTTTCCATATTAAAAACAATCGGTCTCCAAGCTTCTCTCATTATAACTGATAAGGTTTCGATGCTCATAGAATTCTTTCATTAAAAATCGTTTGGCTAAATCTACTCTATATTATTAACAGCAATTTATCAAACACTAATAATTCTAATTAAATCGATTTTTATCTCCGATATTTATCCAAAGTTCTGAATGGTTACTCGTATATTCCATGACATTAAATTTATATAACAAATACAAGTTTTAGGACCACAGGATTTTTAACTAATTCAATATCATTTGTTCATAACAAGACTTTTAAGCAAATTTAATTAAAAATACATATATAAATTAATAGTTTTTATTAAGCGATTAATAATGATTTTGCGAATAATACTCGCAATGAAATAGTTTCGGAACTAAACATTAAATATCTTACTTTTAAACAGTATTAGAAAATGTTATGTTGAGAAAATAAAATAAAAATAAAAGTGAAGCAATTTGAAAGCATTTTTCTAATGCTTGTGATATTCTGTTATGTGTGGGTGTGAAAATGATTTGATCTATTTATTGTCCATTATTTTTGGAGCGAACATCATCAATTTTAAGTATCATTTTGACGAGTTGCGTTGCTAATAGTATTTGTTGTTTCTTGGAATGCAAGGATTCAACAACATTATGATGTTTCATATCTGAATTTCCAGTTAACATACAGTCAACGCCAATACTTGGGCGATTTTCGGCATTTTGACGAGATTTCAGCTCTGATAATGTTTCAATTGGATGTAAACCACTATTTTCAGCCAAAGCTAATGGTATATTTTCCAAAGCTACAGAGAATGCGCGGAAAGCATACTGTTCCAAAGTAGATAATTGATCAGCTTGTTTAGCAACAGCAAGAGAGCAACTAATTTCAGCTGCACCGCCACCATAAACAATACGGGAATCCTATTAAAATAGTATTATTTTAATAATCAGTTTTTTCCCATAGCAATATTATTCTTACCTTAACCAAAGACCGTACTACGCAAATGGCATCATGTATTGAACGTTTGGCTTCAGCAATAATCATAGCATTACCTCCACGTAAAAATATGGTAACAGCTTTTGAATTTTTGCACTCTTCAATAACCAACATTTTATCCTTAGAAGTACCGAAAGCTGAATATATATAATATTAAATATTTTGTTATTGCTTAGATTTCATAATAATTAAAATATTAATAATCTCACCTAATTCTCTAACTAAACCAGCTGTGCCTAGTTTCTCTGCAGTAAGCTCTTCAAAACGCGGCACGATTCTTCCACCAGTAGCAATAGCAATAAGTTCGATTTCAGGTCCACCTACCCAGCGTACAGCGGGTAAGTCGTGTTGTAACAATAAATGATTAGCTTCATCATCGAAACCCCATTGACAAATGGCTAAAGTAGCACCAGCATCCTTGACTTGCTTAACCATTTCCGTGAATTTTTCCTGCTCATATTCACGCAATGCACGATACTCTTCGGCAGACTTAACATCCAACTTATGTTTTGTTTTGGGTTTTGGTGGTTCAAATGGGCAGGTAAGTATAGCGAGTTTCACATTTTTCAGTTCCTTTGGCATTTGAGCGTGACTCATTGTCTTATCAACTACAACACCTTTGACCAACATTGAATCTTCCATACGTCCACCGACTTTCGTTTCAATTTTGATCAATTCGAAATTCACATCCTTCTTTTCGATATCAGCAACATTTAGCACAGCATCTACTGCCATTTCAGCCATCTGACGATGACATTTATTAACAATTTTGCTCCCTAATGTAGTCATAGCAATCTGTATAAGTGGTTCCTTATTTTTAGGATCAACGGGAAAAGGTTCTGCTATTGATTCTAATTGCTTGACAGCACACTGTGCAGCTAATTCAAAACCATCAGCAATACGTATTGGGTGGATGCCGCGATCTAACAGACTCTCTGCCTGTTCCAGCAGTGCACCAGCCAAGACCACAACACCAGTAGTACCATCACCGATCTCATCATCTTGCGACTGAGACAATTGTACCATAAGTTTGCCAATCTCATGATCAACTTCCATCATTTTCATTATTGTAGCGCCATCATTGGTGACAGTAATATCACCATCAGCAGTTACCATAATTTTATCTAAACCTTTGGGACCCAAAGAAGTTTTTATGGTGGAAGCAATTTGGCGGGCAGCTAAGATGTGGCTCTAAAATAAAAATACAAACAATTTCACATTTAATATGTTATTTAAAATAAAGTATCATTTTCTCAAAAACAAAAACTCATGACGGCACTGTTTATTAGTCACTCATCGAGGCATTTTTAACCTCAAATTATTATGACGTCATGAAAAGCCGACTGGTTATTTTAAGTTTATTTTAACTTATAAAATTAACAAATTTAATATTATGAACACAATTAAATACGGTTTTTGCATTTAAAAATTGTTATAAATTAAAATGTTAAGTTGTTTGCATAAATTTCTTAGTATATGCGAACAAAACAAAACATCTGGAAACTTCTAAAGAACTTGTATTAAAACACCTGATAAACGCTTCTGAAATAATTTATTTAAGCAAAAGTGTTTCTTTTGCAGGAAAAATTTACATCCACCCAAAGGTTGTATTAAATGGCCATTTTGCTGGGATATCCTACCTTAATAGCTTCTGTGCCTGTAATCCGTTTTTGTTGCTCCTGGTCCCGCAATATAATAAAAGGCCGACCATATTCATCAAAAGCAAAAGTACCTGGGAAGGCGTTCATTTTTCAAAACTCGCGATTTTCAATAGATTACAGGATTCACACAGATTAATATCCACCTTTGCTTAGATCACGAACAAACTTACGCCACAGACAAATAATGTTTTACTACAAAATTCCACCGGCAGCGAATGGCATTGCCAGATGTTAAAAATATTAGTATTTCGGCAGCAAATGAATGATGTATTTTTGTTGACAAGCAAATGTTTTTGCATATATACTGCTTATATTATCTACATATGTAATATTATAAAAATTTATAATAGTTGTATGTATAATAATAATATATAATTTATTATTTATTTATTATTATTTATTATTATTTATAACATTATTTTTTAAATAAGTTATTAAAATTATATTATTGCTACGAATGTTTTGACTATGCTAAGGGTACTCCATATTAATTGATAATGAAATATATGTATAAATTTAGTCATAATTTATTTTTGCAAAGGTTGATATTCTTAAAGCATTAAATAAATACTTTTCTTTAATTATTAATATTTACTATTTTAGAGTATTGCTGTTAACATAAAACAATAACAAATCATACACATGATTACATATTTAATAAGGGCCATGTTATGCAGAGTGTCCCGGGCACGGCAAATTACGCTCTTTTGGGCTATGCCGAAAATGCATGTTATGCGGAGTGTCACATCAGTATTGCCAATTTTGTATTTTTACTACTAATTGGTTGTGCCTAAATTTAAAAGGAAACTAGCAAGAAAAAACTCATAGAGGCTGTAATAATGTTAATTTATTTTTATATTATCTTATAATAATTGTTAACAGTACTTACGCGTTTTTTTAAAATCGGAAAGTGATAGCGATTTATAAAAAAATGCTGTGTTGCTTACTGCCATTTTTTCTTCAAAATGTATTAGAGCTGTAGTAATTTGCTCCTGAAAGGCGTAAGTTTTGAAATTTATTACTAAACAACACTGTTTTGCCGTAGTGCCGAGGCACAAATAAGAAGGCTCTCATGCCGGAGTTTGAACGGCCATATTGTTTTTTCTCTCATTCTCAAATTTAAAATTTGCATTGAAAACAACAACAATTGCAATTCTTCTGGTTGATCTTTCATTTTCGAAGAACATATATCTTACGATTTATATTGTTATCTTGTCTTGTAAAACTGCAACAATAGTTGAAGTTCCTGCAAAATTCCGATTGTATTGCAAATGCAACTAACTGCTATAGACTTAAGGCATAAAAGAGCATAATACAATAATATGAAATATTATTTTAGATTTGTCCAAAGAATTATTAAATATTGTGAATAAAAAATGTATGTTATGTCTTTTATAAATTACTTTTACATTTTAATATTTAATTAATAAACAATTATATGTGTGACGTGTTTGACAAACTTAAACTGAGTAACATTTCTGGTTTTGAAGAAGTACAACACACAACAAAATATTTAGAAAATTTTTATGCTTTTCCTATTTGCAATTATATATTTAATTTTTTTGAATTATTTATGTATGATAATTTAATATGCTCTGTACAATGCGATGTTTGACAAACTTATTATAAGTTAACATCTCTGATTCTAATTTTGTACAATACACAACAAAAAGTTCAACGAGCTGGACATGTCAAAATGTATGATTCCTACAAGCGATGGTAGCACTGCTAGTAGGCACCCGAAATAGTACGATTGGCCACCAAGTATTATATTTATTTTAAAATAATAATAAGACAAAGTAACGGAAAAATGAATATTATTCTTTAGTGATTTATTTGATATTTAAATTTGCGTTTGGAAATAATTTGCATATATTCTCATTTTCGAAATATATTGACTGCGGGAACTGTATCAACAGACAACAACAACACGAACAAAATAAAAACACATGTAAAACAACAAAAGCAGCAAAACAAAAAACAAGCAAACGAAAGCAAAACAAAGAGAAGAAGAAAAGAGTTTGCCGTAAAGAATAAAATTTTTTAGAAAATTTCAGTTACACTTGTAACTCAAATTTTAATCCTACGAATCATACACTTGCATTTGTCGCGTACTATGGAATATCGTTTGTCTGATAAAATAAGCAAGTTTGAAGCAGAGTATTATTTTCAGGTAAATATTTATATTGATATATACACCAAAATTACTCATATATGTGTGTGTGTATGTGTAGACAATTGAAATGGCCAAATCGGATGAGGAATATGAAGTTGAGTTGTGCAATACTCCCCCTGCACTGTCATCAGACATACTCGATTTGCATAAAGTGCAAGATGAACCAACTTTGTGTCCGTGGCGATTTGTAACGCGAAGGCGTCGTTCACAGCGTCGATATACTTTTAACGGTATTCAGGGTGCACCACCAGCGCCACCGTCCACTCCCACATCTTTGACTGCTGCTGGCACAACAACACCCTCTCCTACTGCAACTAATGAAGATCGACTCAATAATATGCTATATATATTAGATTATGCGCCTAAGTACAAAAAGAAGCTCAAAGAGCAACAGCGTACTGATGCTGAACTAGCTGACCTGCTGAGTGTGGTGACTATAACTGGTAGCAGTGGCGGCGGTGCAAATGGTGGAGGTGGTGGGCAAAGTATTGATCGCATAAGTGCCAATTCGCGCGCAATACGGAAACCGAAATGTGCTTTCAGATCTTTTAAAGTGCATCGAAGCCTCGAGAAACCTGAGTTTTATGGTGTATTGGATGAAGAAGATTCTGTTTCAGCACCTGAATATGATACTGAAGAAGAGGATACATTGTATCGACGCCGTTTTGCGCGCAAATCATATGCCATACGAAGAGGTGTGCGGTCCAGGCGATTGGCAAAATTTGAGCATCAGGAGCGTATGGAAGCTATTTCAGACATTTTCGATACAGCTATGAGCTTCAATGAAGCATAATTTTATTAAATATGTTGCTCCGTACTCAAATGGCGCTTATTTTACTCATTTTTTGGGTCTATTGTGATGATTTTGAATTTTTTTCGTAAATATTTGTTCTCTACTTTTTTTAAGTGCGTAAATATAATTAATTTCAGTGTTTTAAGTTAAAACAATATGTATGTGTAATTAACAAATCTATTTCAATGATGAGACTCTAAAGTTCTA